ATATATATTTTTTAAAACCCAGCATCCCTAAAATAGAATATCTTTGTCACTGGCTGAAAGCAATTCTTTGGAAAAGATATTTCTTAAATATTTTGGTTTTTCCGTTGAAAGCATTTATAATGCTTTCTGAATGACTCTTTTGCCATATTATATTAATATTTGGTTGCATTATTACTTTCTCATCATTTACTGCTTCTGAAAGTCACTACAAAAAGGGTTTTTTATTCTTATGGGAAAAAATTAACTTCTTGAAGTTATATCTCCACAACCCTGATAATATATTTTAAGGTTTAATAGCTCTGCTTGTTATGTTTTTCTATTAACTTGGGAAACCAATTAAGATGACTTTTTCTGAGTAAGATGTAAAATTGCCACCATACTCAGCATTATCAAAGCCATACATCCAACAAGTTAAAATATCTGCTTAAAAAAAAAAAAAAAAAAAAAAAAAGAATAAGCAGCCATCACATTATTGAAGTTGGTTCACATTATTGATAAAAGTTGGCTCAAACTAAAGGTATTTATTGGCAAAGTAAGTTATTTGACAAAGTTAATTAATAAAATACTAGTTCTAGGAACATGGTAATAACTCTCCAAAAGGAAGTATAAGGAGTATAGAAAATGTAAATGAAAACAACTATCATATTATATATGATAACCTACACTATACTATTAAAATATATTTTAAATGAATTTATTGATAAAATTTTATTTTTCTGCACTACTATATGTTGTTCAAAGGAATTATTTTTCTTAGACTACATAACTCTCTCTGTTCTGTGCTTCTAATTAAGACATGCACTGTTGTTTAGAGCTCTGTGGCATGAAATTAGACCAGCAGTTTTCTAATATCCATAAAATAAATTTTAAAATGTTTCCCCTCTGAAAGACAGATAATTCAGTCACAAAGAGCTTATTTCTATATTTCCTTTGTTTTGGTTTTTTTTTAGCTGCTTGGTAAGCCAATTTTCTACTTAGAATGTACTGTTAAAACTCTCATGCACTTTGGTATATGGGCTTTATCCTTTCCATGGTCTGCTATGCAAAAAAGATGACTTTAAAAAAAAATTTAAGTTTGCTGATTGTTAAGAGGTTGTTCTCAACTTGGATGCACATAAGAATCACCTAGGGAACCCGTAAAAGATTACTGACACTCTCTCCCCTCCAGAGATTCTGATGTAACTGGTCTAGGTGGGCCCCCTTTTTAAAGCTCTGCAGGTGATTATAATATGTTGCCATGGATAGGAACGACTATGATCCTGCCATCTTCCAAATAAAAGCTTATTATCTTTTCTAATTGAACCTAGATGGGAAATGATTTTTTTAAATTCTAGAGTTAAATAGGTCCAAAGATTAAATTTCTCCTCTACAATGCTATTTTTTTTTTGGTTTGAATTTTAGAGTTTAAGAGCAAATTATTCTAATGATTAGTTCAAGAAATCCCCTGGCTGCTCGTGAAAAAAAATTAAAGGGATATGTCTGAATACTACTTTAGTGGACTGATGGTTTTAGTTCATTATATTCTAAAAAAAATTTGCTACACTTCATATTTAAAGATTATATCTTCACATAGAAAAGAAGAAAAACAGTTACTGCACTAGAAATTTCTTTCAAAAGAAGTTCACCTTTTGCATGGTGAATTTAAATATAATTCTGAAAAAGAAATCTTTACAAATCTTTACAAATTTTTCCATTTGGCAGAATAACTAAAAGGGCCAAATCCTAAAACAAAAGTTCTTGCCCAAAAAAATGAAGTATATATATTAATATCTTAGGATCTAAAAGAGGGACATTATGCCATCAGTGGTGAATAAAAAAATCATGTGCAAATATCATATACAACTTTATAAAAATATATTCAAATGCATCAATTGGATAATTTTCTAAAAATACAAACCATGGAAAACAAAAGGGAAAAAATAGGATTCTCCAAAAACAATTCTTTAATTATGGAATGAGTAATAGAAAAAATCTACCTTCCTTGAAAGACACCACACACAGGCAGTTTTATAGGTAGGTTTTACTAAATTTTCAAGAATCAGGTCATTGTTTTTGGTACTATTTCAGAGAGTAGAAAAGGAAAAGCTAGACAAATCATTCGACAGAGCTACTACAACCTTGATAGCAAAACTAGCAAGGATAATAAAAGAAAGTAAAATTGTGTGTGCCAGTCTCCTATTTAAGCACATTGTGAAGCCTTTTAAACAGCTTTTTCAACCTTCCCTCCTTAGCATCTCTCTAAGTAGAATCAATCACCACTCCCCATGGGCTTCCACTATAGTTTACACGTACTCTTTTAGGGTGGTGCACAACGCTTTATTGAGGGGGAAGGCAGAGGGGGGTGGGGGGGAAGAGCATGGACCTCAACCAGGCGAACCTCCTGAGCTCTACCACCACTGAAAAGCACTTATACATACTCTAACCATAGCACCATTAACACTTTAATGCACTTACACATTTTCGTATTTGTTTCTTAGTGGCAGACTCTAAGATCCCTGTAGGCAGGGACAGTTTCTTATTCATATCCCCTGGTATGAAATGCAGTGCTTAGTCCATAGGCAGGCACAACAGTTGCTGGGTGACATGGCTCTTTCAGGGTGAAACACCATTGAAGTGTATATGAAGGAGGAGGGAAACAATGAGTCAGTGAGTACACTCATTTTGCTAGAACATAGTTTATATAAGGAAATAACAGTGGAAAGGTAGGTCAAGGCCAATCAGGGTGAAATTTTCTAAGTTTGGTTTTAGCATCTACTGAAGACTTTTGAGCAGGCAATGACCAAATCAGATCTGTGCTTCTGGATCTGGATAAGCACTTTTTAGAGCTGCCAAAGACCTGGAGGTGACCTATCTGGCTTAAACCTATCCTTTTAAAGATAGGAAAACTAAAGCCAGACAGGGTAGGTAATCCACAAAACGCTACAAAACGCAGAATTAAGCTAGAAACAGGCAGAAACTTGGAGTAAACTTGATTAAGGTCACACAATTAGTATATGGTACAACCAACAGGCAAACCCAGGTTTTTTCAACTCAAAAGTCCAGGCAATGAGGTATACAGATCATATGTACATCCTTTTAGGACAGTCCTAATATCATATAATGCACTTTATTTTATATAATGTACTTTATTTCAAATGAGGGTAATTTATAAAATGCATAACTAAAAGCTTATTAATTATTTTTACTTTTATTGTAAAGCAGAACATTTAATGGAATTCTAATTAGCTTGATTACATTAAGTCATTTTGATGAAGTCTTTTAAAACTCAATGAACTTCCGGACCCAAAATCAATGAAATAGTGGTCATGAACAGGAAGTAAATAGGGATAGAGAACTTGTTTGGCCTCACAAAATCTACACATAAATCTCTATAAGTAATTTTGGTCACTGCCGCAGGTTTGGAAAAGTTCTGGAACATATATACATACATAAAACTTCATGACTCTTTAGTGTTAAAAGACAGCCTGAAAGTTCATAAAACCAGTAGAGGTAGGTAGGGATAGAGAAAGCTTAAACATATTCATCTTATCTCAGTATACTAATTCTGGGAAATACTCCTTAAAGACTAAAAGATAATAGATTTAGAGGAAACTATAGGAACATACTACTTTACCCAGGTAAAATCTTTACAACTTTTTTTAAAGAGTAGGAAGAGCTCTTTAAAATTATTTTTAAAAAACAACAGGGCATTTTGTACGAAAATGAAACTGAAAATACATACATGCTCACATATATGAAATAATGATCAAACAGCTGTCAGGCATAGATAGAGTGAGGACATTGTGCTCACCCCATAGATTAGCCCTTTTATGGCTCTTGTCAGAGACAGTATACTAGACTGAGAAGGTCATTGCTCTATAGCATTACATATTCTTGCCTGAGCTATGGTTTGGCACCTCGGGCAAAGTCTTGCAAAAAACAGGTATTTAACTAATGTTTGTTAAATGATGGACTGAAGTTTGAAGAGTATAATTGGTAGCAAAGCTATCACAGGCAAGAAATCATAAGCAAACAGTAATGACAGAATAATTATAATACCAAGAACTGCAAGAGTGAACAGTGATTCTGATTTTACCATACAATATTATTGCTATAAATGTGTGTATTCATTTATGAGGCAGGACCCCAAAAAAAGGAATTTATTTATAAAAATTGTGTACTTATTCATACATGTTAAAACTCTGGTAACCTTCAAAGTACTCTCCATTTGATGGAATACAACTACAGAGACACTTTTCACTGCTCAAAACAGCTTTTGAACTCATCCATTTTGATGCCTTTTAGTGTTTCTGCTATTTTTTGTTTCATCTCTTTCTTCTACATACCAGCAAAACATTTCCCTTTGAGGATTTTTTTCATCCGGGGAAACAAAAACAAGTCTTTTGGGGCAAAATCAGGTGAATAGGAAGGGTGGAACATGGGAGTCATGCCATTTGTGGTCAAAAACTGCTGAACACTCAGCACAAGTGCATTGTCATGGTAGAAGAACCAGTCATCTGTTTGCCACACCTCAGTAAGTTTCTTCCGCAAATCATGATGCAACCTTCTCAAAACTTCCAGATAAAAATTTTGGTTGACCATTTGATCCCCAGGAACAAATTCTGAGTGTACTACAAGGGGCCCACCCTCCAAAAGATAACTTCGTTTTTTTTGGGGGGGTCCCATCTTGTATCTTCCTTAACTCTATATTCAAATAATGAAACAATAGCATACAGAGGTTAGTAATTTGGTCAAAAACAGAGAGCTAGATAGTGGCAGAGTTACCATTTGAACCCAGAAGCCTGTGCTTTTAATCACTACACTATTCCAGCCAGCCTGGAATTGTCTGAGTATCCCATAAATATGATACGTTTTAGAATCTCATTTAATATGCAATTTTCTTTTTTGAATATTTGAAAAAATAAGTTATAGGTTAAAAATTATCCACATATAGTTCAAAAGAGAAAAACTAATAATCCTATTATACTGTATTAAAATGTACATATTTATTTAAGATTTACCTCCAGTCTTCCTTGAGTATGACCCAGGAGCAGCAGATTGGCTCTATCCTTCTCAGAAGAAATGGGAGCCCAAGGCCAAGCATCATCACTAACCAGTGGCCACCAACAAACAATTATATCCTGAACACAATTGATAGCTAGATGACGCTGTGTTGTCCTGTTGATCGGGCCAGGTATTTCATAATAGGAAATCTAATGATTTAAAAAAAGCATACAGGAAATATTCATTTTAAAAGATGCAAAATCCTCAAAGTATTAAAAAAAAAATTAAAGCATCTGGAAATGTAGATACATGCAAGTAAATATGCATGTTAAACATGTGCTTAAGAAGGTGTCAGAATTTACCAAATTCTTTTGACACATATAAAAAAGACATATGTTCAAAATTCTTCCCATTTTTAGCAAAGGAGGAAAAAGGAAAAATGTGAGTTATGAAGGAATTGAATGTAGCAATCCCAATCAATACCAAAATGTACAGTCGTGGTTGCTTGACAGAATCGACCTACACATAGGATTTAAGACCAGCTGTATTAAATGACAAGTTCAGTACTGCTGACCAAGAGTGTCTGACTACTGTTTAAGACATAATACGTTAACAATGACTGACAACAATAAAAGGAAAAACAACTTGAGGCAAATATCTCTTTAAAGAATATTTGAGACATACACATATATATTCTGCATAAAAGGGATAAGCCACAGCATCATGCGTAAAAGTTTATGCAGCTTCTGAGAATTATGCTTCTCTTTCTTAGGAAGGATTTGTAGAATTTATTATTCAAACTATGTTATTTTGGAACATGGTTATTTGAAAACATAAGCACGGCACCATCTGGGTGACACATGCCAAGGAAATATAGATTGCACCGTATTTCTGCTTAAGGAATTAATGGAAGGTTGATAGCTTGGAAGAAAAAAAAAACTATCTTGCCATTGCTGGTCAGCAATAATCGAACCACTTTCTGGGGATTAAGCGCATGGCTAAGCCTACTGGACCAGACACTAGCAAAGGGCAGGGGGTCTTCTTATCAGAGAAATGCTTCTGGAGCCAGTCTCACTACATGACAGATTGCTTTCATATTCCTGTCTGCAAGGCAACAAAGGATGGCAGTAATGCGATAATGCCAGAGTGCAATGGGTGTTAAGAACCCGTTGCATTTATGTATTGTATTTAGTAAATAATCAGGCTCATCCAAATTGTGATCTCACCACTCAACCAAGGCCATTAAAATCAAGGTTAATGCTTTAATAATCCTCTGCGATTTTTTTTCAATATGGTCAAAAGGAACCCTTTTCTATTTGCATGGCCATAATATTATTGACCTCTTCATCCTCTGAATGCACATCAAAAGGAACTGAAATCAAGGTAATTACCAGTGTTGTTCTCTCATGGTAAACATTTAACTCCTGCACTGTCTCTTCACTGTTAAATAAATTGAATTGGATTTTTAAAATGTAGACAGGAAAACTTGTTAAAGGTCAATAGTTTCAGGATATGTACTCTGCAATTTTCTTTGCCAAAATTATGTCAGTCTGAAAGAATTAAATTATGGTACAACTGTAAAGAAAAGCAGAAGTACAATACTCTATATTACTTCCTTGTTATAAATCCAAATGGGCAATGACAGACAACACAGATGTACTTTATGCCCTTAAGTGTAAATTCTTATATTTAAGCTCTCAATATCATTGTTTTAACTATCTTCTTATTTGAGAGCAATATCACAATGAAATTGCTAAGTATTTAAAAATACACACACATCATTTTTATGTCTGAATTGCTGCGTAAGTATGTTACCTATTAATTTCTAAATGAGGAAACAGTTAAAATGAGCGATTGACATTTTCGGTTCTCACATAATGCATCTCACTTATGTTATTTTAAATTCATTTCCTATGAATTCTAATGTTATCAGTATTCTGTCATGATGATCAAGAGGGCAACTAAAATGAACAAATTTCTTAAAATAGCCTTCCAGGTGAGCAAAAGGCAGATTGGACTAAGTATTAAATATCTATATTTTTAAAATATTAAACAAGGAAATGAAATTCATGAGCTTTCCAAAGGGAAGCAGATTACTTCTTTATTGTATAGAAATAACGTGGAATGCCCATGGTGCTAATTTCCAAAATCCAAAGGCAGAAAAAAATAAACAAGTAAGTAATTCCCTTACTTAAGGTATAAGGGACCCAAATACTAGAGTTATTTTCCACATCTTTTTGTAAAAAAAGATGACATCCTGACAGTTTCTCCTCTGGTCTCATTAACAGGTAGCTACTATCCTTCAGCTGAGATTATATCAAGCTATCCATAACACCTACAATTAAGAAATTAGTCATACAAAATTTTATATACTAGCATTAACAATATTTACTTTAAATGGTTTTAGTTAATGCATGTTGGCATATTTTAAAGACAAATATTAGTAAATAAAAAATATCTCAAGTAAATTCCTTTAGGACTGTTAACATCTTATTTGTTTTTGGCTAATCAAATATAATAAATGAATTAAAAAGAAAATACATATTATACAAGGTTTTATAGAAGCGTCACAAAGTTGGCAAACAGAACCACATTATAGTTCATTACCACAATGAAAAAGTCATTTGATACATTTTATTCCATGTTAGAAATCTTGTTTTATAAGAATAGATGTTTCTACCAAATAAGACCAAATCCTCCTCACACCAATACCACCTCATTCGTAGTAAGAATCCCAAAGGGCAAAATGTTAAATTAAATACTATTCCAAAAACACACACAAGTTTCAAGCCACAGAGGAGTTGGCTTCTCAAACTCTTTGCCTTGCTGCAGATACTCTAGGTATGGCATAAGTGTGCATCTTTTTTAAGGAAGCTGTATATCAGCTCTGTTCCCAGTGAACAGTGAACTGTCTCAAATCCACAACACAGAGGCCGGATCAATCTTGCAAACACAAGTCATTGCTGAAAAGAGGCCTTGAAATGAAACAGCCTGGAAAATGTATTAGATACTCATCCTAGCAGAGAGTATGCCTTCCCAGCAGTTAAAATGTAAAGTGACAAAAGTTAAATACATCATATAAAATAAAAATCCTGACTTAACAGATGTGAAGTCCTTAATACAGTATGGAAGCAAATTACCTGGAGCTAAGGGAGAGATACTAACACATGAAGGAGATTTCATTTTGCATTTTTTCAAGTTATAGTTGGAAGGGAGGGTTCTTCCCACTCCTTTTTTATTATACTTTTCTATTAAACTTTTAAAATGTTTCTTCCTTGTTTCTATACTTGTGAGGTGGAAACCAGAGCAGATATCCTAGCCTAGAAAGATGATATAGGGGCCTAAAGGGAAAATGAGAGTGATGTATATACTACCACTAGCAAGAAAACCATTTTCAAAAGTGTAACTTGCTTCTATTATGTCTTTGACTTCTGTAAGTACTACACAAATTGCTCCAAAACATACCTTTGTTAGACCTACCCCCAGTGAGAGTAAAAATGAAAACTTAGGATGGCCACTGTTTACAGTGAATCAAGCTTAATCCTATAATAATTCCAACTCATGTGATACTCTAGCATACCTTAATAATTAATAATATGACTATGTAAATTGAAATCTCTACCTTATAATCCAAGGCTGAGAGTTTTTCCAGTCTTTTGTTTATATCAGGGGAATCCATCTTCTTGGTAAACTGAATAAAACATAGTTTGTTTTGTGCCAAAAATGATAAGATGATAAAATTGTCTGTGAGAAGAGCTAAAAAACACAATTTGATAATACCAAGTTAGAAAAAAATAATGAATGAATAAATCTTTTCCTCTGAAATATTACAAAAAGCTATTTTCAGAAGATGCATATTAACTGAAATCACTAAAGTCTCCTAAATACTATTATGGTATTATTATAAAATTATTAAAGATATCAGGGATAAGTCACAATCATTGATGTAATCATGCATGGATTTGGTATTTTTCTTTTTTTTCCCAGTGACTATTTCAATATACACTGATGTTTGGGGATAACCACCAAATGAGACATATTTGGAACCAGGGCTAGAAAAGTATAAAAGGAAGACTATCTTACATCTGAATGTAGAGAGGAAAACATTGACTTTTATTTGTGCTGAGACTTTAATCTTATGTTTACATGATATAAACCATCTGAGAATAAAGTTGATTTACTTGGGGATACTGATCAGTTTTCTCCACAAATCTTTTTTTTAAATTTTAAAATTTTTTCCTCAATGAAACTTCTTTTGGGAGTATACAAGCTGAATAAAATAAAGCACATTATGCCAACAGGTATATTATTTAAGTTAATATTCCACAATGAAGATTAGCAAAAATATTTCTATAACTTTATTTCTAAAGCACAAAAGTAGGCAGATAATTAATATTCATAGGTTACAGAGAGGACCATTAATGTTCCATAAAATTATTGATAAAAAATATATAAAAGAAATTTGAGAAATGTTTTATATTGTTACTAGCATAAAAACATTATTAAATGTTTTATACGTTTTTCATTACTTCCACACTCCTGGTCATGTAAGCAGTGACCAACAGTGATCTACACAATTAAAGGAGAATCTGGAGCACTGCCAAGAAATCACATTGTTATCATGTTCCCATGAGAGTGTATTATTTTGGGTACAAATAAAAGAAACAAGTGAAAAAAGATAACTCAGAGACAGAAATAGTATTGAAAATCTCCTTTTTAATTCTGATCAAGGAGCATCACTATGACAAAAGCATCAGAGCCACTATTTTATTTGTGGTGCCAAGTAAGTGGTCAATTATGAGATATATGAAAATAGAATCTCTTCCATAGGGAAGGCTCCTTAGCACCATATTTCTATAAGGAAGAGAAAGTGGAGTGCTCACAATCTTACTCCCAGCTTATTATTATCAATAATGTTGCTAATTATCTTTATCCTGCAGAGTGTTCTTTAAAATGATGTGATTGTGTCTGATTTATTCAGGGGTAGCTAGTGAGCACACACAGCAGACAGAAAGGTTTCTTTATTCTCACCTCTGTCTTTTCTGCTAGACCACACTTTCCTTTAATCATTAAATTTAAGATACTGACCACTGTCAGTCTTTCATGATAATACAATCTATTTTTAGACCTTTTTTATTCAAGGTAACTTGAATAAAAGAACATAATCTCAAAAATTCAGGAGTCAGCACAACAAAGTGAAAAGGAAAATGAGCTCTGTAGCCAGAACCTGTGTTCAAATCTCAGCTCAGGCACTTTCTAGGCATATGACTCTGGGCATATTCTTTAGTAACTCAGCTTCAGTTTTCTTATGTAAAATAATTGAAATAAGTATACCTCATATTTGCTTTCTTGTGTTAAATGAAATAGGTAGGTTGGCACCAAGCATAGAGTTTTTTATGGCTCTATAAATGTCAGTACACTTCCTGTTCAATAATTGGCTTAAAATCTTTTTCTTATGTGCTTTGTATCAATTATCTACTGATTGTGGTGTCATTTAATAAAGCCAGATTTCTCTTGGCACCGATCTTTGATATTTAGAAAATGTAGCCCCAAATCTCTCAAAAGATAGTATTCATAAGGTTTTCTTTCACTCTCTTCTTATGAGAGTAAAAGCACCAACTGGTGGCTGTATAAACATATTTATCATATTCATGTCATTTATTAAAATGTATTTGGAAATGATATTTGAAATGTTAATAATAGAAGACCTAATTTTTGAAAGAATGAAAACAAAACCCTATTTTGAAAATATGTTCACATTTTTTAAGAAAAAAGTGAAAAAAACTCAGACTATAAGCCTAACACTTAACAAGGAGACAAAAACTTTGATATTAAATATTAGTCTAAACTTGTATTGGTCCCAGGGGATGTAAGTATGCTATTACAAGCAATTACTTGTTATGTTTGCAAGTCCCCAGTGGTAATAATTAGTCTACCTGTTGGCACACTATTTCTCTTGCCCCACTGTTAATGTAAGCAATTGATTTGCACATGGGGGTAATTACCATCACTGATGGTGTCTGAGATGAGCTTCCCCACCAGGCTTCTGTCAATCATCACTTTCTCCAGCTGTGGCCCAGAAAGGCTTAGGGACACCAGCACACCTGAACCAAAGAGGAGCTAAAACCAGGTAAGGAGGAAGAGAAGGAGAAAGATATGCTATGAATGAGAATCTTTTAAAAATCTCTCCAAATATACAACTTATACAGGTATTTATGAATACATCTATACTATGACATTACAAAGGGTTTTCCTTTGTTGGAAAACAGTCCCTAACGTTCTGAGTGAAAAGAGACAAGTGGCTAAATTATGCAATGCAAAAGTGCATTGATGAAAGCTATATGCAGGAACCTAATTTAGCCCATGTTTATTAGAAGTCTAATCTTCTAAATATCTAGAAAGTAACTATGCAGAAATAACTTTTGCATTCAGAAAATGTAGTGTGTTGTACTGAAATATTTTGAAAGATTATTATTTGTATCAGAAACCAGAAGATATTTCTTGAGGTTTGATTAGCTATTGCTACACATTAAGTATAGAAGACGCCACCACTACAATATAGACAGCTAATGTTATGATTTATTTGAAATTTAAACCCTACTGACATCTAAAATTAAAAATCTTGTCATTCTAAAATATTAAAATACATGTAAATCAAGGCAATTAAGTAAAATGTTAAATTTTTAAAATCACAAATAAATAACACACTAGAAATAATTTCACAAGGAGAGATAAAGAAATATAGAGAAGCATCCAGGCTTTATCAATATCAGTGTTCATATAACCACCCAACAAAAGATGATTGGATCTCACCATTATAATTTTATACTGCTCCTTTCCATTTGTGGCATAATTCATTCATCTCCAAATGTTTAAAACTTCTGAAAGGACTATGCATATGCGTATGCTTGTTATCTATGAGATTATGAAATATCAACATTGGAAGAAATTGTTTCACCTTCAAGGCAACAGACTCAAAGCTGGTGAATCATAGAATAGCATATGGTATACAAAGAAAAAAACCCAATTGTCAGTAAACTAATCATGAACATGCTAGCCAAACCAAGACAACTACAATTTTAAACAAAACAGGGGAATCCCCCACCCACCTAGGCATCATGTTCCAGCTAGAGAGGATGATTCTGTGTTAAGACATATTTGGATGTGTGAAAGATGAGAAGCATGAGGGACCAGGATAATAAAAAGACAGACCACCATTTCTCCACTGCCTAACAGATTCCAGACAAATGAATCAGAAAAGAAAACTGAAGAATCCCCTTGTCCTAGTCACCAGAAAGCTTATCCTTACTTGACATAAAGGACTGTTCCATTTCATGCTAATTCCACTAGAGGAGGAGGACAGTGGGGGGAGGACTTAATCAACTTTATAAGTTTTGGAGACTAATAAGAGATGGTACATTTGTTCCAGGAATTTCAAAATACTTCACAAATTAATTAATCTCTACTGAATTACATCCAGCCTTGCCACATACCTTGATGGCAAATACTGATATTTCTCATTTAGGGAATTCCCCCACAGCAACATAGCATGTGGTCTTCACTCCCCAAACTCTCCTTTCCCAGACAGACAATTTTAGAATCATCCTTTATATCTATTTCTCCCCTTCATAATAGATTTTCTCTCCTTCCTCCTTTATAAAAACCATCTCTAAAATCTGTCCTCTGTTTATTTTTATCTACTAAAGTTTTACACCTATACTCAAGCATCTCTTTTCTTAATTACCCATTAACTACTAACTCCTTATGAATATTGACTGGCCACATTTATCATTATATCTTCAGTGCTTAAAATAATGCCAGTCATATAGTAGCTGCTTAATACATGTTTGGAGAAGGAATCATAACTAACTTATCATAGAATCAGATAATTCATAGTTAGAAGAAAACCTGATCTAATCTTCCACTTCCACATGACATGATGTTCCTTCTGCAGCATCCCTTCAAGGATCCATGCTTAAATACTGCCAATGACCAGGAGCTCACTATCTGACAGAAAAGATATTCTACCATGGAACAGCTATAAGCAATTAAAAGATCCTTCATTCATTGTTTTTGTTTTTGTTTTGTTTTGTTTTGCTTTGAGTAGGAGTCTCACTCTTGTTGCCCAGGCTAGAGTGCGGTGGCATCATGATCACAGCCACTGCAGCCTTGACCTGCTGTGCTCAGGCAATCCTTCTGCCTGAGTCTTCCAAATAGCTGGAACCACGGGTGTGCACCAGATTAATTTTTTTATTTATTGTAGAGACGAGGTCTTGCCAAATTGCTCAGACTGGTCTTCAACCCCTGGACGCAGGCAATCCTCTCGCCTCTGCTTCTCAAAGTACTGGGATTATAGGCGTGAGCCACCACACCCAGCAAGATCCTTCATTCACTGTTAATACAAATTAACAAAAACTGAATATTGATTATATCCCAAGCACTAGATTAAATTTCTTTGGTTTTTTTGTTTGTTTGTTTGTTTGTTTTTTGAGTTGGAGTCTCACTCAGTCGCCTAGGCTAGAGTGCAGTGGCGCGCTCACCACCACCCCAATGTCGACTTGCTGGGCTCCGGTGATCCTTCCACCTCAGCCTTCCAAGTAGCCAGAACTACAGGCATGTGCTACTGCTCCCAGCTAATTTTTTATTTATTGTAAAGATGAGGTCTCACCAAGTTGCCCGGGCTGGTTTCGAACCCATGGGTTCAGGCAATCCACTTGCCTCGGCCTCCCAAAGTGCTGGGATTACAGGCTGAATCATCGAACCTGGTCTATACTAAATTTCATGACTCAAAAAGGAATCAATCTTAAAATAGGTTAAATATTGATTAATAGAAAGAGGCAGAAATAAAAGCAAGTGAGTGTAACAAAATATTGTTACCAGTCCTATTACAGAAATACATATTGGGTAGACTAAAAGGACTGAGAAGGAGGTGGTGACTATTGAGCTTAAGGTTAAGGCTAAAACTGACTTCTTATAGCTTCCACAGTAGCCCCAGTTTTTATTCAATAGCACCCTCTTCAAATATTCAAAGACAGTAACAGTGGTAAAGAGTATAGACTCTGAAATCAGAATAAAATCAGCACTGGTTCGCACTCTTACTAGCTTATTTAACCTCTTTGTACCTTAATTTTCTCATCTGAAAATAGACATGTTAGTATGTTTTTCATTGGATGATGATTAAGTAACTTTTTACAAACAGTATTTAGGATAATGCCTGGCATGTAGTATTCAAAATTATTATTCAATAATAATTTTATCATTATTCAACAATATTAAATAGTATTCTTCAGTAATAATAGATTTTCATCATTACTTTTATGATGCTTTCTCACTATACTGTTAGCCAACTCTGAACACATTCATTTGTCTTTTTAAAAACTTTGTAACCCAGGTTGGACTCAACATGAGACATGGAACTCCAGACTCTAGGTGAGTTCGAACTAGTAAAAAGTACAATCATTTGTTGCCTTTCTCATTTGCTACAATTTCAGAAGAATATTGTTTCTAAAATATTTGCAAGTTCCTTAAGAACTCTGGAATTTAATTTTTCCAAGTCTCTAATTTTCTTTTCCTTATTTTCTGTTTTTGCCAGCACTATCATGAAATAACCCTCATCTTCTAGTAGAAACTGCCTTTTGTTCCTATGTATGAACATCTGCTATAAAATTATTTTTTAAAAAAAAACCCACACACACGCTTTTGTGGGATGAAGAAGGAAAGTGCAAACTTTGAGAGTAGGTAAAAGAAGGAACTGATGCTGAAATGGATTGAAAGGGGTGAGTGCCTGGAGCCAAAAGCATGCATGCATACATCAGGCAGACAACTGATCCATACATAGAGACAGAAGCAATGACTTGGGGACTACGGATCCTGCCCAGTGAACTAGGACATTATTGCAGAGTCCTTCTCAAAGGATAGGTACAGTCATTCATTCATCCTACAGATATATATGTCCTATAAATATAAATATATAGTATACTGTATGAGCCAGGTGCTGTTCTAGGTACTGAAAATATAGCAGTGAACAAAACAATGCCTTTGTCCTCCCTGCCTTCATGGAGATTGCATTTGAATGTGGACACAGACAATACATAGTTTTTAAATAATGTCAAATAACAATAAGAATTATGGAACAAAAATAAAGCACCGCTATTCGGAAGGCTGAGGCGGAAGGATCGCCGGAGCCCAGCAGGTCGAGGCTGCAGGGGCCGGGAGCGGCCACTGCACTCCAGTCTGGGCGACAGAGTGAGACTCCAACTCTAAAAAAAAAAAAGAAAGTAAAGCACCATAAGGATGGGGATTTCAGGAGGATGCTATTTTAAGCAGGATGACTAACAAATAAAAAGGTCTCTCTGAGGAAATGATATTTGAATACAGGCCCAAATGAAGTAAGGGAACAAGCCACATAAATATCTAGAGAAAGGGAGTTCGAGGCAGAGAGAATAGCAAATGCAAAAATTCTGAAGTGGGAATGTTTTAGGTTAGTGTAACTGGAGGAGAGTGAGTGAGAAGCACATTCACAGAGGACAAAGCTAGGGAGGTCGTCAAGGGCCAAGTTAAGCTGAACCTTGTTGATGAGAGGTCATTAGGTTTTAAGCAGCAGAAAATTATAATCTAATTTATATTTAGAAGGTGGGATCAGGGCAAGAATAAAGCAAGGAGACCATTAGGAGCCTATTGCAGTGGTCCAGATGAGAGAAGATGATGGCTTGACCTTGAATGATAATGCTGGAAGAAATGATGTGGCTGAATTTGAGATATATTGTTAAAGAGTATCTACTAGCACTTGCTAAAGGTTTGGATGTGACACACAAGAAAAAGACTCAAAGGTTTTTGGCCAAACCAACCAGATTTACAGAGATAGGACATGCTAGAGGAAAGCAAATTTAGATTATGGGGGATCCATGTTTGGTTTTAGACATACTATGTTTAAAGTGCTTATGGATATACAAGTGGAGATATTCAGTAAATAATTAGAAATGAGTCTGACATTCAAAGGAGACTTGGGGCAGGAGTTATATATTTGAGAATCATCAATAATATTAAGGTAGTAGCTAAAGTAATATTGAACAAGCTCTCCTTTAAAAAAAAAGAGTGGAAAGATAAAGTCCAACGGCTGA